TATTCTGTGAAACTTTCTGTCCATGGATGCACAGAGAGCAGCCACTAACTCTGCCACTTTCCCTGTGGTTACTCTGTGGTTACTCTGTGGTTACTCTGGTCTGCTGCTCAGCCGTCACTCTCTGCAGACCCTTGCACAGGATCAGCATTTTAGAGGCTATAACATAGCTGAAAATGAGTAAAGAATAATTGTTAAAATTATGCTTTGTTTTATTTAGCAGTATGTATTATTTCCATTCATGTCTAATCTACTTTTCATACCAATAATGCAACAACTAATAACAACAATAATAACTTAATAGCATTTGTACACTGTACCTGTCTGCACTGATCTCCACAGTGACCTGCTCCAATGGCTCCAAAACCGTGCACCTCCTGCACCTCCTGCAGCGCCTCCCATTCCTTGTGGTTCAGAGGATCAACAGGCTACAATAAATACTGGGATGTTTATAAAGCAAAAAAGGAGTTCTGTGGATGGGAAATTGACCAGATCAGCTGGGAGGGAGGCATTATGGGATTGCTGTCATGTCTTAGGCATAAGGCACAAAGAAGTTGTTTGTATGAATCTGGGTCAGGGTGACAGTTGGGGTTAGCAAGCAGAGAAATGAAAGGAAACTTCTGGGTATGTCTCAGAACCTGTCGAAATAAAAATACTCAGCTGAGGTTTTGTCATGGCGGCAGTGCTACCCACCCCCACCAGAACTGCCCTTATGTGGGGCTGATAAGAAGAGGGTTTGGGGTTGAAGAGAAGACACCTCTTGTGAAAAGAGAAAGTGTCTGAATGTTTTAATCACGTACTGCAATAATCCTTCGCATAGAGAATCGCGTACTGCAATAACTAATAGCATAAGGAATGCCCTTTTAGGGAAACTCAGTAAAGGTATATAAACTTTACTTTGTTCAGGGTGTGTCACCTCTTTGGAACAGGGACACTGTTTCTCTTCTGTATGCTTCTGAACTGCTTCACTTATTCTCATGGTGATTATTTGCCAGCTAGTAAAGAAGAAATTAATAGAAAAACAAAGAAGGATCTACCAAGTACATTTTTCACTTTCCACAGTTCAAAATAAATTTCTCAAAAAGCCGTCTGCGATACAGCAAGGATGTAAAGGATTGTGATCGGTTTGGAGAGCGTATGCTGAGCTCATCCGAAGGCATCCACGGTAAACTTTAACCTAAGTTATTATACACATACTATATAATCTTTAAAAGGAGCAATCATTACAAGTGCAAAGTTTGCTAAATTTTGTTTCCAATAACGGTAAAAATGCTTTGCAAAATTTAAACCCCCCTCACCAGCGGTATGATGTGACAATATGAAATAGTCTCGTCTCAAGAGATCTGCCTATTATGGTCCCTGCAGTGTGAAGCCTGGAAGACACTGGATTCGTGGCGAGTGCATTGCGGCTGGTTTTGAGGCTGCTGGGATTGCTGCACTGTGAGGGAGTGGAGTAGACACAGGGTGCACTTGTGTTGTGTTGTGCGCCTGTTGAAGTGGTTGATTGGAATTATTTAGAAGTATATTTGAGTGTTTGTGTCCCAGTATGGTGGCGTGGGTGGCTGTTGTTTCATTTTAAACCCTCTCTTGGGGGTTTGTGGTTTTTTGGCCTCCCAAGAGCAACTTCGCTTTATTTTAGTTAAACGTTGTTAAGCAGGAAGTTAGTCTCAGGTAGGTAATTGTTAATTTGGTTATTTTAAAAGTTTAATTTCAAAGGTTGTTATCTCTGACGCTATCAGATAATTAAAAAAGTTAATTTAGTGTTTTATTGTACTCGGCATTAGATCAACTAAAAGTTAAATACGCTATATAAATATACTGGGCTGGGAGTAAAGGACGGGGTCATAGTGAGTTAGGTAATTATGGGGCAAAGTGGCTCTCATCCAACACACCAAGGAGTTAGAGGAGAGAGTTGATATGCATTTTAGGGAGACTGTGTGTATGTCACAAGCGGGGAGGGGGGAGTATGAAGAACAGAGGTCGAGAGAGCTGGATGAACGTAGGTCATAGATGTAGAAAAGGGCGTACACAGTTTACAGGGGCAGCATCACCCGAAGTGACTGTGTCTAACCGCTTTCAGGTGCTTCCAGCTTTAGAGCCTGAAGAGACTGGGGAGGCAGCTGGGCCCCTGGGCACCAAGGAACCCCATCCTCACAGGAGGAGGGAGGTTGTGGTAGTAGGGGATTCAATTATTATAGGTGTAGATAGTTATGTGTGCACCCGTGATAGAGGGTCCCGTACGGTGTCTTGCCTGCCTGGTGCCCAGGTGGGGGACCTTCCGAATCGAGTGGACAGGCTTTTGGCCCCAGCTGGGGTGGATCCAGTGGTCGTGGTGCATGTTGGCACAAACGACATAGAAAAGGGCAGGAGGGCTGTTCTGCAGGATAAATTTATAGAAGTTGCGGATAAGCTGAGAAGCAGAACGTCCACGGTGGTATTCTCTGGGATATTTCCTGTGCCACGTGCGAGTCAGGCTAAGTTAGCTGAGATAAGGAGATTAAACATGTGGCTAAAATGGTGGTGTAGGAAAGAGGGGTTCAGGTTTATGGGGCACTGGAAGACCTTCTGGAATAGGTGGGACCTGTTCAAGCCGGATGGGTTGCATCTGAACCAGAGTTGAACCAGTGTATTGGGGAGGCGTATGTATAGAGTAGTTAAGGAATGTTTAAACTAGGGACTGGGGGGGGAGGATAGTTAAGAATATAGGAGGGGAGAGCTGGAAAGCCCCAATTAATATTAAAAGTGGGCACTGTAAAAGGCCTACCCTTTGCGGTCTGTGTTTAAACACTAGGAGTATTAGAAACAAAATTTATGATTTAGAGGCTTTAATTAGTACTGCAAAAATGCTTACTAGTCAAGCTTTTTCATCAACTTGTTAACGTGTGGGCCTGAAATTTGCTACTTGCTCACTAGTTAACTAGTAAGGCTTAATTAAAATGCTTACTAGTAGCAGTATAGGTCAAAATGTCCACTAGTGCAACTAGTGGACATTTTGGCCTTTACTAGTGTCACTAGTGGACATTTTGACCTGTACTGCTACTAGTAAGCATTTTAATTAAGCCTTACTAGTTAACTAGTGAGCAAGTAGCAAATTTCAGGCCCACACGTTAACAAGTTGATGAAAAAGCTTGACTAGTAAGCATTTTTGCAGTACTAGTACGACCTAGTCGGGTACTAGTGCACCAGGATATCTTACTAGTATGGCCAAAGTCCGAACTAGTAGAGCAAAGCGGGCTTGATATCACGGATATCAGAATAAATGCTCAAATGGCTTTGCATATCAAATGGCTTTCCATAAACTAGTACAGCAAAGCGGGCTTGATATCACGGATATCAGAATAAATGCTCAAACAGCTTTCCATACGAACTAGTACAGCAAAGCGGGCCTGATATCACAGATATCTCAAAAAAAAACTTAAACAGCAATTTCCATAATCTTGCAAGCTAGCGGACCTTGTAGTTGCCCGCAGGCATCTTACATTAGCAAGATAAGTTCGGTGATAATTAATGCAGACAAGAAACATAAATGACACAATCAAAGAAAATCTGCTGCCAAGTCAATCAGTGTCAGCCCCGAACAAGAATGGAGAAGGAGATCCAGGTATGCAGGGGTGAAGGAGCTTTATTAAAGGCTCCGGAAGGAGGGGAGAGGAGGAGATGGGTTTCCTGCCTCGGAGGAGCGCAACCTTCTCTGCCGATGCGCAGGGGGAAAGCGCCGTAGGCGAGGGAGCGATCTCTCCAGGAGATATCCGATGGCACGGGACCGAGGGGGCGAGCAGGAATCGGTGTCGTAGTCCGTAGGCTGGGTTCGTTAACTGGGAGATCCGTCCGACGGGTAAGCACGAGACCAGGACACACAAGGAAGGGGGAACAGGAGATGCCGGGCTCAGCGGGGAAGGCAGGTCAGGTACGGGAACGGGTCTGAGGAGGGAAGGCAAGAGGGTGAGGGTCGCACAACAGGATAACAGGTAAGGACGGGAGAGAAGGGCAGACGAGAGACGAGAAAAACGCTTGGTATGGCTGCAAATCATTAGCTCAATACTTCGCGAAGCATAGCGGGTCCCGTTCTGCTTATAAAGGCAGTCAGTCCTTTGTGGACGAGCTACACCTGTCGCGTCCCGCCTCCGTGGGCGTGACAATCAGTACTCGTACTTGCCACTTGCTCCACTTTGACCGTGGTTCCCGAGGAGAACTATCGGCAGTCAATCGCTCATCCTGCTAGTCCCGGATGTAGAGGGTTGAATTTCGGAGTTCGGACGGTATTTTAAACCATGGAAATTGTGGCAGCGTATTTGAAAAAGCGAAAATAACAGGACTTAATATTGCAAAGCAAAAATAAGAGGACTGAATATTACCACTTGAATAATAAAGATGCGAATAAAACACATCGAATATTTTCAACTGAATTTGTTCTTTTGAAATTTATTTTGAGGCGAAAATAAATTAACTGAATTCATATGGCTGAATTATATATATGCACTTTAAAAGCTGTATGTTTTGGAACTGAATTTTGGAAGCCGAATATTTTTGTATTGAATATTTAAGCAATGAAATTGCAATTGAATATTTTTTCAGTTGAAATATTCAATGTTTAAATGTATATACAAATTAAATTACAGTCACCGAAAATTCAAAACAACAGTAATGCACTGCGTTTTTATACGATAAGTGTAATTCAACATGTTATTTTTCCATCAGCGATTTTTGTCATTAATTCACTTCCATAGTCATAATTAAAATTTATGACAGGAAACTCAGTGTGCCAGAATTGAGATTTTTACCTTTTTACAAATGTTAATTGCTTTCAAAAGAGATTTACACACAACACTAAGAGCACACCATGTTCTTCAGTTATTCAAATTTACAGCAAAGAAACACGTAAAGATTTTATTGTGAAAATTTAATGAATTTGTTTCCATATCAGAGTGTCACATCGTTATACAAAGGAATACCAAACTACTGCAACACATTGGCAGAGCAACTATTTGTTTTAAAAGTGGGTACATATGAGAGTCTATGAAGATTCTGCAGATCTGCAGAGAAGGACTATCTAATTAGCTCGTTTACTTTAAAGTAGGCCTAATAATGCCCACGACCATAGGTATTCCCCTTCCAACGAGCATCCTGGTAGCTATACATGCTTGTCTCTATCGAAAGACGTACACCCAAAGTCACAATGAAGATGAACAGGATGATCAAGGAGATGCAGAGGGCAGCTATATTAAAGCAGCGAGCCTTAGATCCGTACTCCCCGTTGGCTTCCAGGTCACCCAGCACCTTCCGGTCTCTGGCCTGAATGAGAGGGTGACAAAAACACAAAATCTGAGGAAAATGTGACTTGTTCAGTGTCAGTTGACTAAAACTAATACCAACAGGCCTATCTACAAGGGACGGTATTTTTGGCACTAAAAATTCAGTACTTTCCGTTTTCCATTGACTTTTAGTTAAGGTACCAGTAACAAAGCTACCAAACCAGCTGGTGTACTTTTCCGGTTCTTCTTTGCCTTGCAAACACAACATATATCCACATTCTGAAAAAGGGTAGGTGCCAGAAAATGGATGAATGAGGAGACCCAAACTTTAACTGCGATTTGGTCGGAATAACAGATGCAATGTGATGTGATGAATTTTAAAATTATTTAAAAAATTAATATAATATACTACATTAGAAAAAATTCAGATATTATGATGTTATATTGTTACAATAAATACTGAGATATTTATAAAGCAAAAAAGGAGTTCTGTGGATGGGAAATTGACCAGATCAGCTGGGAGGGAGGCATTATGGGATTGCTGTCATGTCTTAGGCATAAGGCACAAAGAAGTTGCTCTGCTGATGGTACTGCATGTATTTCATCCTGAAACTCGTAATCTGGGTCAGGGTGACAGTTGGGGTTAGCAAGCAGAGAAATGAAAGGAAACTTCTGGGTATGTCTCAGAACCTGTCGAGATAAAAATACTCAGCTGAGGTTAAGAGTGGAGGTTTTAGACCACTTCAGTTAATGCGGGGGCGCAGACTGAATCCAGTTCTTCTGTTGGGGGGGCAGATGCATATTACACTAGATAGCGGGCAAATGAAGAAGCAAAAGACATTTTTGAAAGCTATTTATGCAATGCTTTGCAGTTATATTTTGCACTTTTTACAAATACGTAACTCACTCTGATTTCTTGTTTAGACTGTCTTGCTTCCACAAACCTAATAATTTTTTTTCTATTGTTAACTTTGCTTTTCAAAACCTGAAGCGACTGGACCACCCAACGGACCGACATTAAGAGTCCATCAAGAAAATGTTCTTACGGTTGTGTTTCGCCTGTTCTCAAGGCACAAAATGTTAGCCCACATATATAAATGTAAACAACAACAACAATAATAATAATACATTTATTCCAGACCGAAGTAGCATACACATTTAAGGGAGCCACGGGGGGTGGGGGGCATGCATTTTGGCACAGGGGGCACTGCGACTCTCCTGCCCCAGAACCGCCCTTATGTGGGGCCGATAAGAAGAGGGGTTGCGGTTGAAGAGAAGACAGCTCTTGTAAAAAAAGAAAGTCTGAATGTTTTGATCACATACTGCAATAATCCTTCGCATAGAGAATCGCGTACTGCAATAACTAATAGCATAAGGAATGCCCTTTTAGGGTACTCAGTAAAGGTATATAAACTTTACTTTGTTCAGGGTGTGTCACCTCTTTGGAACAGGGACACTGTTTCTCTTCTGTATGCTTCTGAACCGCTTCACTTATTCTCATGGTGATTATTTGCCAGCTAGTAAAGAAGAAATTAATAGAAAAACAAAGAAGGATCTACCAGGTACATTTTTCACTTTCCACAGTTCAAAATAAATTTCTCAAAAAGCCGTCTGCGATACAGCAAGGATGTAAAGGATTGTGATCGGTTTGGAGAGCGTATGCTGAGCTCATCTGAAGGCATCCACAGTAAACTTTAACCTAAGTTATAATACAGATACTATATAACCTTTAAAAGGAATCATTACAAGTGCAAAGTTTGCTAAATTTTGTTTCCAATAACGGTAAAAATATTTTGTGTAGTGAGTGCATCGCGGCTGTGGAAAGTATAGATTTTCATTTCAGTGTCCATGTTAACAGAGGAGAGCGGCCACACGGCCTCACACCTCATCTGTTTTTCACACGTGCGGAGAGCGGTTCTCAGCACAAATATGCAGTTAAAAGATCTGTTGCTAGTCATACTGACATCATACCAGCAAAATTCCATAGCTGACCGAAAAAGGCATCCCCTTTAGTTCTGAATTTCTGTAGCTTCCATCAACAAGTGCTTTTTATGATTTGTATGTGAGCAAATTAATTTTTTTCTTCATGAAAACAAAAACAGTGTTACTGGAGATGTGATACACACTTATAATGTAACAAGAGACACATTGTCAAATTCATGTTTTTTCTTTTGAGCTATTACAGTGGATAGTAAATTATACACACATGTTAAAATGGCAGGTTTTTGTGATGTAAAATAATGAGACCACGATAAATCTTTTCAAAACTTTTCCCACCTTTAATGTGACCAATAACCTGTACAATTCAATTGAAAAAGAAACAAATCTGTGAGAGGCAAAAATAAAAAGAATAAAAAAACGTGCATGGTCAGCCCCCAGCTTTAGTCAAGGTGGAGGGAATTATGAACACCTCCAAATACCGGTCACTCTTGGCCCAAAACCTTCTGGTGTCTGCTAGAAAGCTGTAGATGAGGAGGAATTTCACCTTACAGCCTGACAATGACCCCAAGCAAACATCCAAATCAACAAAAGAATGGCTTCACCAGAAGAAAGCTAAAGTTTTCCAATGGCTCAGCCAGAGCCCGGACCACAATATACTTGAAGATGTGTGAGGTGACCTGTTGAGGGTCGTGCACAAGAGATGCCCTCGCAATCTGACAGATTTTGAGCGCTTTTGCAAGGTAGAGTGGGCAAATACTGCCAAGCCAAGATGTGGCATGCTGATAGACTCCTACCCAAAAAGACTGAATGCTGTAATTAGCTCAAAAGGTGCTTCAGTAAAGTATTAGTTTAAGAGTGTACATAGTCATGTAACCAGCTTAGTGTTTGTTTGTTTATTTTTTATTTTTCCCCTAGTAGATTTGTTTTTTAACTGAATTTTAATATTTTTCTATCCACACACTTCATAAACATGCTTGTGATGGTCTAAGTTGTAGGTACCAAACTGTATTTTAACGAAACACAATATCGTATGATACGTCACATACGTTTTATGAGTTTACCATAAACAGAAACAACTATTTTTATATGTAATGTAATACAGTATGTATATGTAACAACTCCCCACCAGTGTTCAATGTACAGTAAAGTTACACCTTTGTTTCAGAATATGACTAAATCAAAAAGTTGCATATTGGGCACTGCTGCAGTCTAGTTAAACAGGACACTTAATCAAAAAAGAAAATCAGAAAATCTACAGCTATATAAACTGGTGACAATCTTAGTCACTTTGAATGAAATAATCTGCAGTGGTGGTTCATAAAAAAGACAAAGACGTGATTAACCGTTATATGACGATTATCTTTCTATCATCAGGTCAGATTTGCTGCACTCACCTTGACCGAGTAGTAAAGGGCGATGAATCCCAAGCAAAATGCATTACAGTAGATGAAGCTGAACAAGGACCAAAGAATGTGATCCCGCGGTGGGGGGGTAGATGCCATCTGCAACTCACGGTGATTCACAGGTCTATATTCAGGTTCACGCCGCTGCTCGAAGTTGCTGGTTTGCATCGGTAAAACCTCTGACTGGTACTGGATGGTGTTCATGGTAAATCCTGTTGATAAGAGATCTTCTTTGAGGTGAAAATAAATGCAGAATGATGAAGTTTACTGTGAGGTCCACCAGCCTTATAAAGCATGGAGGCGTGGCAGCCGACTGCAAGGTGGGATGAGTTTCACTTCCTCGGTACTGAAGCCAAAAAAAACACATATTTGCTTTTCCTTATAAGAACACATAAAATAATTTCTAACCCAAAGCTACAGCCCAAATCTGTATAAACATGAGGGTTGTAACGATACAGCTTTTCCATTGTTTGGTATGTGTTACAGGTATTGGGCTGTGATAATGGTATAGTTTTGGTAAATTTATATTAAAGAAGAAAATAAAACACATAACCTGTTTATTAAACAACAACTCCTTTATTTTTCCATATATTAACTCTTCATTCAGAAAAATTACAGAATGACTACCAGCCTAGTTGATGTCTCTACTGTATGAAATCAAAGACAGAGAAACATTCAAATTAAAAGTGCTTATCTTCGATAATCTGCAGATGTTATACTATTTTAAATGAACAATGTATCTAGTTTGTACGGGGCCTGTACAGGAAATATAAATTTTTGGAAGAAAACTTTTGAAATGCCAAATCTTATCACTGTTAAAAAGCAACCACAGACAATTAGCCCAGTAAGTGTAGAAATTAATACCACAACCCAGGAGAGCGCAGAATGTTTTTGATGCAACAGACCCACATAAAGGGGGCAAGAAACGTATTGTGGTGAGTGGTTGAATTATTTTAATAAAGAGGACAACTAATTTAAAATGGAATACTCTCTTTATTAAGAGCCACTCTCAGTTTAACACTAGCAGAGGCTTGGACAGTTTACATGACACTCATGGTTACACGCAAGGAAATAAACATTACATAGTTATGACATTTATCATTAACATAAATACATGAATACACATTAATTTACATCATTTTAAGATAAGTGCAGGTTGTCACATTATGTCAGCCTATTGCGTGCAGCGGTGGGACCACTGCTCACATAGCGACATATTGCTGAAACAGCGTCGATTACATCTGAAGTATGTGGCCATCAGGAGGCGGACAATTTATGCCATCTGCTGTTGTATAATGATGTTTAAATTCTATCCTTCGCAAATAAGACAACCCCTTTTTTTAGGTGCTTTTTGGGGAAAAAACACCATCTTATATTCGCGCCAATAAAGGAAAATGACGAAAATATCGTAATATCACGGTTCACGTGTGGGAATTGAACCGTCGGTAGCATACCGAATGGTTCGCTAATATACCGAAAACCATTACACCCTTAACAAACATAATTGTGTTCAAGGCATCCTAAATATTTAGGGGCTTATTTTAATGATGGGACATACAATTGGAGACTTCAGAGCTGGTCTTGTCAAAGTGAAGCCCAGCGACTTCAAGCTGGCAGTCAGAACTTGCTTCGTTTATGCAGTATCACATGACCAATGATGTCGGATTCGTCAGCGGTTTCCTATCCTGTTGGCTCTTTGAAGCTTTTATAAAAGCCAGATGAAACGTTTGGGCATCGTGCGTTTTTCTTGTGGTTGGAGAGATCGATTGCTATACAGTTTGTATTACATACTACAACTTTTGACTCATAATGGAAAGTGGCCCTGGTGATCCTCTAATGTCAAGCTGCACCCCAAGATTTCAATACCCCAATCTTTCAATTACAAGCAGACCTGTAATTGAAAGACTGCTGGTTCAAATCCCCGACTGGCAAGGTACCACTGAGGTACCCTGAGCAAGGTACCGCCCCCAAGCACGGCTCCCCGGGCGCTGAATTAGCTGCCCCCTGCTATGTCACGATGTCACATATGGGTTAAATTCAGAGGACATATTTCGTTGTTGTGCTCTGTGTGCTGTCAACAATGATCACTGATCAACTAATTATAATTTCTGTCCCCAGTCCTCCATCTCCCCCGTTTAAAAACTCCCCTGCAAACCCCAACAGGAGTTGACTCTCGGTTATTAAAAGAAAATAAAAAGAAATGCATAAATGATCATCGCGCACACAATGCTTGTGTCAGCTTCATCATACATTTACGCATCTTAAAGACACATTAAAATCAAGGTACAGTAAAACACTGTACATACTAGGGTCTACATATTAAGACAAACATTTGACTAACTGATGCTAAATAAGAACCATATTTACCTGTTCCAACTTAAATAAAATAATAATTATTTGACTTAAAGACAGACTTAGGGAATAGATCTCATTCATAACCAGGGGACTGCCTACAATTGTAAAAATATGTATTTTGCGATAAACGTGTTAACCTCCCCAATGGGGAGAGATTTCTCTTCTCTGCAGAATCCTCACCCCCAGATGAAGTCTTGCCCCACATTTGCAACAAGCCCCAGGGATGGAGGAAAATTGAGACTCCAGCTCTTGGTACAGAGGACCCAGCATCTGACGTGTCTCCCAGGCTGCCATGCCTGCGGCGCCTGACTGGGAGGGGACAGTCACTTCACCAGAGTCCCAAGTCCCTGGAGCAGAAAGGGCTCCAAGGCCCGTTCCAGACCTAGAGGAGGTTAGCGAGTTTCACTCGCTCAAGCCATGCCTGGCTCTCATTTCAAAAAGAAAAGGTTGAAGAAGCAGGCCACACCCACTTCCCCAGATTGGCCAGATCCCGTGCCTCCATGAGCCTGCCACGCCAGACCCTTTATCTCAAGAATCAGTCACGTCAGAAACTCTGCCATTTGCCAGAGAGTAGTCATTGATGGTTTGTGTGGAGCTTAGTGAGTGATGATGTCATATGGGGAGGGTGTTGTATCATGTTACTTCATAATGATTGACAGGTTGCCCATTCCCATGTCAACTTGGCCGCACGGACACATCGCAGGACCCTGTCTTGAAAATGATGAGCTCTGTGGCCGGACATGCAGGAGGCCTGCCTGGGGTCGCGGTAAACCGTCCAAGCCAATCCAAAGCCTCCACTGGTGAAGGTCCAAGGAGCCGTCTAGGCCATCATGTGTGAGCTGAAAGAGGTCAACATTCACAAAAAATTGTGAAGCTTGAACCATGATGTTGAAGGCAAAGATTATGAGTGCACTGTGGGCTTGGCAAGTAATGCTTTGTGGGAAACGCACCAGATCGTTCACTCCTCGACAGCTGTAAACTGAAAGATAACTACAGCGGTCTGACATTTTTTCAAAATATGCACGCTGTACCCTGTTTACCATTATTTAGTATTTTAATCACCATTATTGATTCATAGCTAGTAATTATACAACTGATTGTAATTGACATACATCTCTTACTTTAAAATGTGATTGGATATTTTTGCTTACATGTAATGTGGCTATTGCTAAATTAAATTATATGCTTTAAAAACCATGTGTCATTCTTGCTAGAGGATCACGATGGATAACGAGCACTTGAATCATATATTTAATAGACCTTCAAACCCTGGGGTGTTTACTGGTAGGTTTCTGATAGAAGAAGAGGGAAGTGGGCACAAGTTAAATAAAAATTAAACTGCGACTTGGCTGGCTGGAGGAGATGCATATACTTTACCCTTTGTGTTTCTTAAAAATAAGACCAGTGTAGAGGTAAAGAAAGCATTAGAAAATATTCTCTCTGAAAGCAGGGTCCCCAAAAAGCTTCAAGCAGATCAAGGGAAGGAGTTTTTCAACACATCACTCTATACCATGCAGGAGTCGGCAACCCTAGGCACGCATGCCACAACTGGCACGCGGAGGAATTTC